ATCAAACAAGGTTTACATGATTTTTCTCTCTTTTATATAATTTCTTCCTTCGATAGTAATTTATTTTTTGGATGCAAAACTAACCTTGCCTTCATACCAAAAAAACCAACCAGGTTGTTTGTTTATTCTGTTTTCAATCTATTAATTTATTTATCTTTTGTATCAACAATCATGTGTAATTTATTTCTTATGATGACCTTGCCATGTTTTATTATCAAAGTTATACTTTCTTTATACATTGGATGGCACAGTGTCTTGCTTTCTTCCAATCTCAGGAAGAGTTTAAGCAAAGTTAGAGTTAATTATCTCCCAGATATTTTGGTAGATTTTGTCAATAATGCCTCTGGATTTTAATTTTCTGGTGGGTAATTTTTAATTCTGGATTCAATACATAAGATATAAGACCTTTCAAATTTTCTGTTTCTTCCAGCAGAAATGTTTCTAATAATTTATTCATATCTTCATTTTCAAATCTATTGACATAAAATTGTATGTAAGATTCTCTTGTTCTCCTTCTAACACCATAATACCTGTACAATGTACCCTTTCTATTTCTGCTATTGTATTTTTAGGTATTTTCTGATGTTATCTTGATAAGTCCTCATACTAATTTGTAGTTTTTTAAAAGGCAAATTTTCTTCTCTATTATATTTTTGTCTGTTTTAATGATTTTTACTCCTATATTTTCTTCAGGTTGGACTTGCAGATTTTTTTAACATTTTAAAATTCATGAACAATTCATTTCTTTTTTCATCTTCTTTGCTTATACATTACATGTAATCAATTTCCTTCTTGATACGATTTTATCTGTATTCTATCAATTATCAAAATTTGTGGAATTTTAATATGGAGTATTGTTATTGTGATCTAGTTCAAATTTTTTTTTAATTTCTTTTATAATTTTTCTTTAGTCCGTGGCTGTTTTTGTCTGCTTTTTGATGCGGTGACCAAAATACCTAACAAGAACAAATTAGAGGAAGAAAAGTCTGTTTGGGGCTCATGGTTTTCTAAGTCTCAATCCATAGATGGCTGACTCCATTGCTCTGGGCCCAAAATGAGGCAAGAAGCATATCATGTTGAAAGGATTCAGTAGAAGAAAAGTGCTTAGCTTATGGCAGAGTAAGGAAGCAGAGATCAGGAGAGAAGAGGCCACAGGGAGGATACAAGGTTCCAGGGTACATCCCCAATACCCCACGTCCCCCAGCTATGCCTCACCTATCTATGGCTACCTCCCGGTGCATGCAAACTAGACAGGCTTTATAGCTCTCACAATCCAGTCATTTCTCCTCCAAACACTAATTCCTGCATAAATGCAGGCACTGAAGGGGGAAATCTTATATCCAAACCATAGCAAGGGCTATGTATTTATTAATTTCAAAACATGAGTATTTTGTGGTTTTCTTAGTCCCCATTGTCTAGACAAGCTCTGGATTCCAATTTTTATAACCACCTATCTTTGAAGGCTTTTTTTAAAAAGATATTGCTAGATTATCAGTCTCTTTACTTTTTTTTTTTAATTGGCATATGCTTCTCAGGGAAAAATAGTCACATATACAAAGTGCCCTGAGTTGTATTCTCACTCAAAATTTTGTTCCTCTGATTTTTCTTTATTGCTTCTTTACCCTGCAAATGCTTTTCTATGTTCCTTTTTTTTTTTTTCTTGGTTGCCAGTAGCAGAAGGGTTTTTTTGTGAACTGTCTAGTCCAGCATTATAAGAGTTAGAAGTCAAGACTCACATTACTTTTAACATTTTATTTCTAGGTGCATATATCAAGTAAAATACCCTTTTTTGGATTCTACAGATATATTTGAAATTTCAAATTTATATATTGTATACCATTGATGAAGACACTGAACAACTATTCTTTCACATCGGTGAAAACAACACTAATTAGGGATAAAGACTTTAGGAAAGCAAACCCCCAGCTAGCCTTTTCAGTCATAAATTTATTCTTCTACTTATACATAACAGCTTTTTCCATTTTTAACTATATCTTGTTCATATTTTATTTCATTTTCAATTAGTTATTTTGCTCAGAAAATCTCCATATGGACTTAAAAATATTTTCTTTCGCTTTCATCTTTTAAATGTTGTTTGAAAGTTTATTTTGCTTTGAAGAAGAAAGTTTCTAAAATGCATTATAACCCCTTTTGGAAAATGTATTCCATAGAGCAGAGGTTAACCTGTTCTGAGTACATTGCATTAGGAAAATAGCTCAAAATATGATCAAAGGGTGTGTTGATGTTATGTTTAAGATGTAGCGATATTACATAGTGAAAACTAGTAAATAGAATAAAAGGATGTCTGATATTATAGTTGATTGTATCCTGTTTAGTCATTCAATATACTGATGGAAGAAGGGAAGTTAGTATTATATCTCTGATTTATTTCTACCGTGAATATATGTCTAATTTATTTTAGAAGACCTATTAATATTTTATGTTTAGGCTGTATGAGTCTGATAGGGCTTCTACAACAAAATACCCATAGATTCAGTGATTTAACAACAGAAATGTATTTCCTCACAGACCTAGAGGCTGAATGTGACTTTGGTTCAAGAGAGTTAGTTTCTCCTGAGGCCCCTACCCTTGATTTACAGATAGTTTTCTTCTGGCTCTGTCCTTATGTAGCCTTTCCTCTGTGAAAATACAGGCCTGGTATTTTGTTTTGTTTTGTTTTTTTCTCATAAGAACACCAGTTATATCAGAATAGGGACCCATTTTTTACTTGATTTTACTTTAATTCTTCAAAGCCATACCTTCAAATACTGTCACATTGGGGATCAGAGTTTTAAGACACAAATTTTAGAGAGAAAAAAATTCACCATGTAACACAGCATATATATTCACTCAACAAATATTTATCTACCTAATTTGAGTCAGGGAGTGTTCCTGTATCAGGGATTATATTATAAGGGAGAAAAATAAAATATATGAGATATATTGAATTATTATTTATAAAAAGTTAAGAGAAATGAGCATCTGCATATCAGAGAAAACATTCTGTCTTTTGTTTGGGGGTATTGGCTTATTTCACTTAGCATGATATTCTCCAGCTCCATCCATTTACCAGCAAATGCTATAATTTTATTCTTATTTAAGACTGAGTAATATTCCATTGTGTATGTGTAGCACACTTTCTTTATCCATTCATCTTCTGAAGAGCACCTATGTTGGTTACATAGCTTAGCTATTGTGAATTGAACTGCTATGAACATTGTTGTGGCTTTATCACTATAGTAAGCTGATTTTAATTCTTTTGGATATTTGTCAAGGAGTGGGATAACTGGGTCAAATAGTTGTTTCATTCCAAGTTTTCTGAGAAATCTCCATACAGCTTTTCATAATGGTTGCAATAACTTGCAGTCTCAAGAGTCTCATCCTCACCAACATTTATTGTTGTTTGTATTCTTGAAATTACCACTCTAACTGGAGTGAAATGAAATGTTAGAGTAGTTTTGATTTATATTCCTCTACTTGCTAGTGATGTTGAACATTTTTTCTTGTATTTGTTGATCAATTGTATTTCTTCTGTGAAGTGTCTGTTCAGTTTCTTAGCCCATTTATTGATCAGGTTATTATTATTTTTTTTGGTGTTACATTTTTTTAAGTTCTTTATATATCCTGGAGATTAATGCTGTATCTGAGGTGCATGTGGTAAAGATTTTCTCCCATTATATAGACTGTCTCTTCAAAATGGGCAGGGATGCTAAAGAAGAATAGAGTTGCTTTAGATTAGGTAGAGGGGGGTGAAGGGGAGGGCAGTGGGTATGGGGAAAGCAAGGATAGTAGAATAAATGCTTGATTTCAAGCATTATTATCCTATGTACATATACAACTACACAGCCAGTGTGATTCTTCTTCATGTATAGCCAGAAGAATGAGAAGTTATACTCCATGTATGTACAATGTATCAAAGTGCATTCTATACTCACTCATGTGTAACTAATTACAACAATTTATAATTTTTAAGAAAACCATGGTTACAGTGTCAGAGTGGTACTTTCTAGAATGTAAATGGGGAGTCAGATAACCCATTCCATAGTGCAATCAAAACAAGATGTTGGCTTAGTTTTTGGCATTAATTGTGGAAGTGATGATACAGGTTTTGGGATATGATTTGAAGGTAAGAACGACAGAATCTGTTACGTGTAAGGAAATTCCTAAGATTTAGTCTGAGAAAGGAGTAATGATGTTATTTCCTGGCATGATGTGAAGTGCATTGGTGGGGAGTTAATTTGGGAGTGAAAATGAAAAGGGTTCTGTTTTAGATGTGATGAGTTTGAGATACCCATTAAAATCCAAGTAGGAATTCTGTAGGCCTTTAGCTATAGTGCTCCAAGAACAGGGGGGCTTAAAAGGTTGTTTCAATACCATGGATGCTATTGAACTGGGGGAACTTATTGAGGTTACACAGAGTGATAATGTGAACAAAAACTGAAGCAGTGTAAGGACTGAGCCCCAGGACTTTCCAACATTTGAAAAGTGGAAATGAACATTGTGCAATAGATTTTAAGAATGGTTAGTCAACTGGAAATACAAAAAGCCAATGTAATGATGCTGAAGCCAGTGGTCATATGTATGATCCCAAGATCTAGAAAATTTACCCCAAAACCAGTTTAATATCTATTGAATTGGAAATCTGAAAAGTTGTATTAATTATACACATAGCTGTGTTGATATCACCTCGTGAGTGAATGATCAAGCCCTGGCAAGCAAAGTGTGTCTCTATGACTGTAGTAAGAAGGTAACTAACTCTAGAGTTGAACAGAGAGGAGGAAGAAGTAGCACTTAACCATGGGACATTGAATATTTATCATGCCTATTTTTGACAGGGCCTCTCATAGTCTCATAAAAGAGAATGAAATATAAAGCAACGAAAATATGTTGTTAAAAAAGTCTCTCACTACATGAAAGTCTCTTGGTATTTAATGTGCTTGATTTCAGATTCCCAATAAGTGCTTGTTGAGACTCTTTTAATCTCTTGCTTCTTTCCACAGGTGGGGAGGTTCCATATACAACCCTGGCTACCCGAATGATGATGGGGGCTTGGTGGCTATTTGCTTTGATTGTCATCTCATCATACACAGCAAACCTTGCTGCTTTCCTTACTATCACCCGCATTGAAAGCTCCATCCAGTAAGTAGACAAAGATTCCAGTAGCCACAAACTGTGAGAAATGACGCAAGTGGCTAAAGCTATCTGAGAATAAGTATATAGTATCTGATTATGAATTCACAGCCTCCCTTTGAGTAAAAGTTTAGTTTTGTGACTTTGCAGTGTTACCACATGGTTCAACTCCTGAAAATACAATATATTTTTTACTATTATTTTATTACTAAAATTTTGTCTATAATTTCAATAGTACTTCCTACATTTTCCTGTAAAGATAATACATTTTCTGGGACAGGATTGTGGCTCAGTGGTAGAGCACTTGCCCAGCATGTGTGAGGCACTGAGTTCAATACTTGATACCACATAAAAATAAAGAAATTAGGCTGGGGATGTGGCTCAAGCGGTAGCACGCTCGCCTGGCATGCATGCGGCCTGGGTTTGATCCTCAGCACCACATACAAACAAAGATGTTGTGTCCGCCGAAAGCTAAATAAATAAATAAATAAATATTAAAATCCTCTCTCTTAAAAAAAATAAAGAAATAAAATAAAGGTATTGTGTCCAACTACAACTAAAAAGAAAAAAATTTAAAGATAACACATTTTCAGAATTTTAATACCCACAAATAATAATCATGTCTGAGAATCATTGTGAAAAGGAAGGAAAAAGGGGTCATACTGAAAAACAATCTTTGCCTTGAGTCTTATGCACTGTTAGAGTGAACAGTTGAATTCACACAGACGATTGAGAGCTTGATTATTGAGGAGTGGGGTAGAGAGATGGCAATTAGCAGAAAAAACTTGGTATTTCAGTAACCACATTCTGTTTGTCTCATCATTACATTATACTTAATGTGGTCATTATTGCTGTTGTTTTCCCAGCTACAGTTGCAGTGGTAGGAAATGGTCATTAACCATGGTGCATGGTACTTAAATCCTTAAAATTACCTAAGTCAGCGCCTCAATTCAAAAATGCTATTTCCATGAACCCTTAAAGCCCAAAGGCCTTTGATTAACCAGGGCCAGTTTTGCTTTATGGTTTCATGTTTTAAGATCAGCTCTACAATGTAATTTGTGCCCTACTAGAACAGCATGTCCATGTATTGTTCTAAGAAAAATTCCCCTGAAGATGTTTTACTCGTACAGAAACAAGGTAGTTCTAATTTTCCTACTTCTCAAAATCTGGCAATGTAATATTGGAAAAATTAGAAATATTAAAGAATTTCTTAGGGATTTGACTTTTAAAACAGCAAAGTTCTTGCTTTAAAATATATATATATATATAAGTGAAGTCCATTAGAAGCCATAAAACCATTGTAGTGTAACACTAAAACATAAAATTAAGAATTAATTATCTCTAAAGGAGTAGGATATTTTTCTTTAATTGAAAACCCAAAATTCAACTAACAGTGCTAACAGGCAGTCAAATATTTCATCCATTGATGAAAATGGTATTTCCAATTTCTCTCATCAAATCATCTTCCTCAGGTTGGTTTTCAGTTATTCCTTTCACACAGAACCTTCATTCTCTCCCAACTTACTTTATCTTGTAGCCAGCCCTATGGATAGCAAAAATAATAAATGGTCCTGAGTAAGGCTCAGGGAGGTTAAACTGATGACCCCACCAGCATTATTGTGAGCAATAATGAAAGTGATTACAACCATCTAGCCAGAATATCAACAAAGGTACTAAAACTTTAAAAGTGATAATTAACATGTATTGATCACTTGAAAGATATTAGACTTTATGCTAAGTATTTTAGATGCATTGGTTCATTTAATATTTTAACCATCTTCTAAAGTACATACTATCAATAAGTCATTGTACAAGTAACAAAGCTAAACGTTGAGAGGATAAGGAACTTCCCAAAGCCATGGCACTGATTGAGTAACGACCAGACCTTGAATCTATCTGATTCCTGATGAACCTATATTCTGAATGACCCACGCTAGATCTCATCCCCCTTGAACCTCTGGCCCTAGGTTTTCATAGTTTATTAGATAGAGTGATCCTTTGCTAAGTATTTTCTAAATCTTCAACTGGACAGACAAAACAGAGGAAACTTTAATGTTGAGCCATAACTGTAGGCATACATCCGACCCTGGGCTATTTATACCCATAACTGATGTCTGCCATTTGGAGTAAGATACTTTGACATATCCAATTAATACAAGTTACATTGGGAAAAAATAGTGTTAAATAATTGTCAAATAAAGGTAATATATATTTAAGGCATATATTTTGATGATTTGAGATATATACATTGTGCAATAATGAACACAATCAAGTTAACTAATGCACCCATCAACATCCACACTATACATTAAATCCTCAAAATTTGTTCATCTTGTGACTAGAATTTTGACAGACAACTCCCCATTTTTGCCTCCTTATACCCTCTGCCAACCAGGGTTCTCTCAGCTTCTAAGTTTTCACTTTTTTAGATTCTACAGATAACTGAAATCATATAGTAGTTGTCTTTCTGTGTCTGACTTATTTCACTGATTAAGACCTTCAGGTTCATCTTTGTTGTCACAAATGGCAAAATGGCCTTTAAAAATTAAAATGGAGTGCTTTATTTCATTAAGATACTTCTTATTAATTATGTTTAACTTTAACATTTTTGATATACTGAAAGCTAGAAATCTGTGTAGTTTACATCTAGCTCTAAAGCTTTTTTTAAATAAGTAAATGAAAATTTGAAAAAATAAATGAGTTTATATAATAAAGAACAATAATCATAGTAGTAAACAAAAATCATGGCTAACATTCATTGAGGATTTATTATGAACTATTATTTTATCATTTACTGTTCAAAACATCTGTAATAATAAAAGGACTTCTATCATTACTATTTTATTATAGATGAGCAAACAGACTGGAAAGGTAAATGCTCAAGAAACAGTTAACAAGTGTCAGAACTGGGAGTCTAATCACATTACTCCAATGACAACCTATGAACTTATCTGCTAGTCTTTTCCCTGTCTAGTGGTGGTTTCTACAATTTGCTTCATCTGTCATTTCTCTGAAGTTGCAGACATCATGGCATGTGTTTCTATCTGAGCTACTTAGTTATTTATTAATTTCAATAGCAACAATTTGTATCTAGACTTTCATGCAATAACTGGGAGCTAAAACTGTTTTCGAATTTAAACCCCTAAGATCTCTCTAAAAGTAAAACCTAATAGGAAAAGATTGTAATATCACATGATATTTCCCTCAAGTGTAGTTCTACAATCCAAAGTAACTGAACATTTATTTTAAAAAAAACTATTTCTTTCCAGTGCCAACTGGCACTATAAAAAGTAATCAGTGGGTATAATAAATCTTCACTCCCTTCTAGTATTATCACCGGACTAATTTTAGAAGGAAAGAATCAAAGCCAAATAAGTTAAAAGAAGTCTGATTCCCCAAATTTACAAATATCTTCTAATTTCATGCCTCAGCTGTGTTGGTAAACATAATTGTGTACAATATTTCTTGCAAACAAAGTTCCATTTGTAACTAATGATGAAGTTTCTTAAAAAATTCTAATTTTTCTAGAAAGTCCCAAAACTTTTATTTTACAATACCATTCAATGGCACGCTTCTTAATTATTGATATTCGTAAGACTTTCTCATCAGAAAATGAAGCAGCGTATGTCAGTGTGCCTTTTTCCAGCCTAATTTTGCTATGCCATTAGCAAGTGTATACCAAGCATATCTTCATTCCCAAAATTCAGTTCCTTCTCCAGATGAGGATGGGCAGAGGTGGTTAGAGGAATGTCCCTAAGAAAGAGGAAAGTCTGTTCCTGCTGAATAAATGGTTGATATAAAGTCACACAGTTTGTAGGAGAGATCCAATGGATTTATCTGGGGAAAATTGAATAACTTTAATAAAATATTATCCCTTTTTCAAAATTAGTTAACTGATGGCATCTAAACTTCTAGTTGCTACTTGCCATTAATAAAAAATTTTAAAAATGAATTCTTCCTCTACAAGATAATACAAAAATTCAATTTTAATGTCCCTTCAATGATGGTGGCAGTACAACGTAAGGATATTCTAGCTGTGTAATATGAAATAGTGTAACAGATTGTGATACAGCTGGGATTGGCAGTATTGCGATACACAGCTCAGTTTCTAAAGGAAAAAAGATGCCGTTACCATACGAAGCTAAGGACAATGTGGACTCTTTCATTCTCATTGAAAGGTAAAAACATATAGACATTAAATGGAACGTGTGTATTTCTATTGGCCCTCAGGCTAAACGTGGCAATAGTGAAATGTGTTTGGGGGAGCTCTGGAGGTACTTGCAGAATAAACACTGGGTAACAACATCATCATTAGCTCCATTTGCCCTTATTGAAATGTAATTTCCAAAAAGCTACTTATTCCACATGAGAGGAGACATAGCTATGGGGAATTCATAGTTCTACACTTACATTTACTAATAACTTTAGAGAAAGACTGGGCTCTGGTGATTGAAAATTGTTTTCATTCCTTGAAGCTAAAAGCAAGCTTGAGTCTTTTCAAAAGAATCCCAACATCCCACCATATTTTTGTGTTTGATGCATTCATTGTCCATGATGCTTGAGGCTGGACTAAACAAAATATGGAGTCAGTGCTGACACAAACTAACTGAGATAACATTTCTTTCCAAGAAGACACTGAATCAGTACATAAATTTTTTTCTCACTAGTGGAAACCCTTTTAGCCAAGCATACCAATACAAGAAGTTTGCACAAACATTTTTCTACATTTGGAAATATGAGCAATTTTTTTTCAGTGCTACACGGTATGCTTTATCTGAGGCTCAGAAATCTAAGTCTGTCAACAAGTGTGGTTGTAAAATATGGGTACAGGTAGAATGGTAGAAACTGACAGGCGACCCTCTAATGAGAAGGAGATTGGGACTGAAACCTGAATGCATGGTAAGACTTGTTTAGGAATCTGGAATTTCTCCGGGAGATAATAGAGAGTGACAAAATTTAAGACAGAGATTTACCAATTTAGAGAAGAATGGGTGGGAAAGTAAAAAATG